TGGATGTGTTGGCAGGCACGGGAGGCCAATACCCTGGGTTGTCGTTCAGGAGAAGTCCCGGTTCCTGACTTTCAGAGAATGTGCCTGCTTCTAGCTAACTGCCAAAGGCCATCTGGGTTCCACTGAGGGTCACTTTTGTAGCCTGTAACTTCATTCTTTCATCAACAGAAATAATTGGAGATCCATTTGAGTGTGCCCAGAACTGCCCGTGAGCTATGTGCTACCTTAAACATGACCCAGAAGACAGCGGAGTAAGATGCTGTGTCTGCTGAATTCCAGCTTCCATTTACTGTTAGAGAAGGTCTGGCTAAAACTGCCCAGGACAGAGGCTCTTCACTATGGCTGGAGCAAAACAGATTCACAACTATCATCCTAGGGAACTCAATGCTTAAAAAGAAAAATTTCTAGAATTTGTATGCAGCCCACTCACTTCAGAAACAATCCCTATTGCCTTAGTATCAGCAATTTTTTACATTTGGAAAAAGACTCAGTGAGTATATTGGGTAGGGTCCCACAGCTGCTATAAAATATAAGCCCCCCCAAACTTCGCAGGCTTAGCACCAACCATACGTGAACCCAGGACACATGCTCCAGGTTCGTGCCAGCTTGTCAGGCCTATGCTTTCCCCTCCTTGACCGCTTCCTCCACCAGGTAGCAAAGACCTCAGCATCCAGACTGCGGGTGGGAAGGACAAGGCCCCACTGTCTCCCTCACCTCTGTGGGGTCGAAATAACCTCACTGCTACTCATGTTCAAGTGGTCCAAATAGGTGGCCAGACCCCGACCTTACATAAATAAGGCAATCAATGGAGCCCCCAGTTGGGCAGGCATTTCTCAGTGACAGTTTTTACTGTGGCTGGAGCTGCTGCATTTCTGTAGACAAAAAGTGATCTCGACCACATGGTCATCTAGCGTTAGAGCTGATCTCATGCACGGGCCTTTCCGTAACACCCGCACCTGGCCTCAATCCATGAGAGCAGAGTCCACCAGAGACCAAGAGTTCCTTCCTGTATAGGGAAACCATTTATTATGGGACAGACATGGTTGTTATATTGAGTTCTGATATATTGTCATGCAACTTCTACCTGTTGATGATAGTCCCAGCCTTCTAGAATCACACAGAATAAGTCTACGTCACCTTCCATTGGCCAGACCTTCAAAGATCGAAGATCCGCCATGTCTTCCCCAAGAGATGAATTCTCTAAGGGTTCCAGCTTTTTCCTGGCTTCCATTCCACTCCGTATAGAAGGGTACTTACGTGACTGTTCTTGGCCTTCTTAAAGTCCCTGGCTCACAGTGAAAACCCTCATCAGGTGAGCAGAATCAGGTGGAGTGGGACCAATGAGACGGGCTTAGCACAGCTGAAAGTTGCTAATGGGGAAAACGCTTCTGAGGTATTTTGTCAGCTGGGTGGTGGAAAGTATTCTAGAATGAGGGTCACTCTGGGTTCCTGGCCCATTTCTCTGCTTTCCCTCCATGGCCTCTCTGTGCTGTAAGATGGCTTCCATTTAGAGTAACACTTTTTAAAGCTTGCAAAGAAAACTATGGCTGAACTAAAATGATAGTAAAGCTCAAGACAGGATAGCCTTTTATGTGGGCCTCACATCACATGAGCCATGCCTTAGAACAATCCTGGAGGTGAGCATCAGACCCAGAATCTTTTAAAAATAATGAAGTTTAGATTAAATATTAAAAAGTTCTGGTCCAGTCCTCCTGGAGGAGGGCCGAGACAAATGAAGCTTGTTCCTCTTCCTCCCCTGGGGATGGCATGGCAAAATAGTCTCCATAAAAATATTTACAATTTTTAGAAAATATTTTAAAATTAATTTTTGCAGTTAGAAATTGCATCAGGTGCAAGGATATTTTGCATTGACTGTGCTGTTGTGTATACATGATCCAGAAGAGCAATCTGTCTCTATTGTATTTTATTTTCTCTGTTTTGATGGGAGAAGGGAAGGGGGGTAGTGAGCAACCTCTTAATGCAGTTTAGAAACTTAATGTGGAAAGGGAACTAATATTGTAATTACTCGTTTTCTTTTATCGGCCACAGCGCTCTTTGTCGCTTCTGCTATTTAAAGTCCCTGCTCACATACCGTGGCTAATTCCCTTTGTGGAAGTTCGCGGTGAGTGCAGCTTCCTGAATATTTGCTATTGCAGTCCTCTGGGTGGAGGCTTCTCAGATAAAGGGAGAGCCGAGAGCATCCATCTGTGCGCAAATTAAAAATGAGCTTAACCCCCTGGCTTCCGCTGCGCCGTGCCCTGGGGCAGAGTCCTGTACTTCTGACTGACAGGACTACGCTGTGGTGGCAGACATGTTTTCTTTTTTCACGGTGTTTAGTAGAACATCAAAAGCAGCCACTTCAATCTGACCCTGCACTAACGCAGAGAGACCACCTGGACAAGGAGGCGAAGGGGCTACAGTTGGAGCCGGGGTACATGGGACTGGGAAAGTGAGAGAAAAACAGTGAAATGCTTCGGAGTTTCGAAGGAAAAAGGTCTGTTTTCATTATTCAAGGTGTAGTCCCTGACAAATTATCAGCGCACTGGCAAGCGGTTTGGACTGTTTGCATCGTGATTATGCCAGCTCCTTGGACAGACTCAAGAAGGCAGAAAAGTGTAGTTTTGTATCTTTCTTTTACAGGACTTTTCTCATCTACCTTCTACAGGACTGCCACTAACGGGGTCTCTTCTTGGCAGAAAGAGGACACGTTTTGCCTTCTCTTACTCTTCCCTCCCACTGCAACTTTCTGAGAGAAACAATCTGAGAATTATTGGCCATTTATTTCTGCCTCTATCACTTTAATGTTGAAAAGAGGAAAGTAAGGGTCACCACACATAGGAACGGGTTTTGCTTTGTTGCTGGGGACTAGAGCATGTATTTATTCATTCAACCAGCATGGGTTGAGCTCCCACCATGCCCTGGGCTCCTCCCTGAGTTAGAGGAGGACTGGAGGTCCGAGCAGGACAGCTTTCCAAGTGGAGACCAGCATGTGCTAGAAACCAGCACAGGTAGGGAGGAGAGCTGCCTTGTGAGCATGCTCAGTGACTGGGCAGGAAAAGCCTCTCTGAGGGCAGTATTTGACTTGAGGCCTCAGTGATAGGAGGGAGCTAGTCACTCGCAGACCTGCAAATCCATGATCTAGGCCAAGGGAAGAGAAAACACAGATCCTGAGCCGGAAAGGAACCACATGTGTTGGAGGAACTGCGAAAAACCAGTATGGCAGGTGTGGGGCACCCAAAGAGCCTGGAGATAAAGAGAAACCGGCAAGTCTTGGGTTTATCCAAAATGCAGTGGGGAGTCAGTGGAGAGCTTTATTTCTCTCTTTACTTTCGTCTAAAAATACAGTTGATTTTAAATACACTCAAAAGTTGGGACCAGCAGTTGGTATAACGGCTATGTCACTGGACTCCCATGTAGTTGACCACAGTTCTAGTCCTGGACCTGGTCACTTAAACTCACACCAGGCGCATGTGCGTGCGTGCCCAAGATCCCAAGAGGAGAATGGAGGGGAAGGGATTGCAGCATGGCCATCCCCCCTGGGGGATGATTTCTCACTTTCTCTCTCTCTCTCTCTCTCTCTCTCTCTCTGTCTTTCTGGTGAGCGCACATGCCCTATAGCAAAACCTCTCCAAAATAAATAAATAAATAAATACACTCAAAAGTGTAAACAGTACCATGAGTTTCACGTAAGACATGGCCAGCTCTGCTGACCTATAATTTGTGCCATCCTTATCTAATCCATATCCTACCAACCTCGCCACCCACGCAGACTTCAGTACTAGCTCCAGATAACATTGCATTTCACCCAGTAATTTCGGATGTCTCATACCTGAACCAGGAAGAATAATTCTCCAAGAGTGCCAAATGGAGATGACCAAATATTGCGTCAGTGTTTAAAGCAGAAAGTGTGTGCTATTTTTCTTCTAGTGTATCTGAATCAGAATCAAAATAGTTTCATATATAAGGAAACTTTTAAAAGTTTGTGGAGAAAATGAAATTAAAGTATGAAGCTATGCAAGCCCCCAAAATTTTCGAAATCTATGTATTTTCATGATGTGCATTTTCCATGAACATTTTGAAGAGCTCGCATATTACCACTGGTTGCTATTTCACCCAAGTCTTGGCTGATCCACAGGATTCCCCTCATCAGAGGGTTTCAAGCAGGATTTGTCACATCTGTAGAAAGACCACTCTAACTCTGTGTGAAAGAAGGCAAGTGGAGGGGAGACAGCAGCTGGGAGTCTGCCACGCTGGCCCAGCAGGGTAACAGAGGGCACTCTCAGGTGGTACTGAAGGAGAGGGAAGAATTCGGGTGAATGCAGGGCTTGTGTATTGACCAGCTCATTTGTTTTTTTGTTTGTTTGTTTGTTTGTTTTTTGAGAGGTTTTTGCTATAGGGCACATATACTCGCCAGAAACACAGAGACAGAGAGACAGAAAGTGAGAAATCACCCCCCAAGGAGGATAGCCACGCTACAATCCCTTCTCCTCCATTCTTCTCTTGGGATCTTGGGCATGTATACACATGTGCCCAGCGTGAGTTTAAGCCACCGGGTCCGGGACTCAAACCGCGGTCGACTACACGGGAGGACAGCGACATAGCCAACTACTGGTCCCAACCAGCTCATTTTTTAGTTAGAGCTTACTGGGTTGACTTTTTAGATATAGTCAACTAAGCCACAGAGTATGAATGTATGCCTGGATATGTGATAGGCAAATACCTGTAAATCAAATCTGCAAAATTAACACACATATAGGGGGACCAGCAGTTGGCATAATGGCTATGTTGCTGGACTCCCATGTAGTCGACCTCAGTTCAAGTCCTGGACCCACTGGTTTAAACTCACACCAGGCGCGTGTGCGTGCGTGCCCAACATCCCAAGAGGAGAATGGAGGAGAAGGGATTGTGGTGTGGCCATTTTCCCTGGGGATGATTTCTCACTTTCTGTTTCTCTGTCTCTCTCTGTCTTTCTGGCAAGCACACACGCCCTATAGCAAAAACCTCTCCAAAAAAGAAAAAAAAAGTTAATACGCATATAGAAACCTAAGAATGTTAGAAATATAAATACATACCCAGTGTGTTCAGCTGGCCAACAGAGGAATGTAACAAAAGAGAGTGTCAAAATTCACAAAATAATGCCCTTTGTTCTGGTTACCCTTGCATTCCGTTAGGTCAATCTAGTGGCTTCATTTGTGTTCCTCTCAAAAGTGACGACTTCACTTGAAATTCTCACAGACTATTTCAAAGCAGCAATGTAATCTGGTAGAAATTAAGTATTAAAACCAAGGATAAAGTACCTGGGTTTAAAATTAAGTTCTGTTTCTGAAGAAGACTGCAGAGATAGACTGAAAATGAACCAACCACCCCAAATGCTGATGGCCAGCAGAGTTTGTGGGCCTCGGGCCCTGGGCACGCTGTGTGGGTTGGCCGGTGGTTTTGGACAAGCACGGCCTGCTGCCCCACAGCCAAATCTGCCCCAGTTCTTCACCAGCAGGCCTGTTCTTAGTCTTTTCACTCTTAATTGTTTTGCACTGGCTCTGGCCAAAACCCTCTTCCTGCTTCTCTTTCATCTGCACGGTGTTTCCTAGCCTTCCTGTGGAGCTCTCAGTGTGATTCTGAGAACTATCACTCTCTCATTCTGTTCTGTGCTTCTGTTACCCACAGGCAGCTCTCTTCATACCCGGTGTCCATTGGAATGGTGCGCTGTGCGGCATCTGGAGGCTTCACTGATGAAGTCGGCTCCTGCGGCGGAGCCCCTTGGGTTCTGACTTGCCCTGATCACCCCAGAAAGCCTCCAGTTGGCTGCTCACGACAGCCAGCCAGCTAGAGCTTTAAAAATGGGGGAGAGGAAATGAGCAGGAAAGAGAGAAAACAAAACAAAACTGATGGGGAAATGTCTCAACTTCCGCTCATTATTGTCACTCTAGCACGATGTCACCAAGTCTGAGGGCTTCGGGGGCACGACGAACGAGCAGCAGGGAGGTGATTTTGTTTGGTATGAACACAACATCCTCCACACCCCACAGTGACATCAGGTCTCTTGTTTCAAATTGGCTCTCTTTGCTCACGGCGTTTTTGAGGGTGTGGACGTGGCTGAAGATAATGGCTTGTGACTGCTGTCCTTGTCCTGCTGGGCTCACTTGCAAAAGGTCCCCTGGCCACAGCAGCTTTGTGGAGGACTGACCCAGCTTGCAGCTACTTCTCAGGAGAGGTGATGCGCCTTCCCTGGGGAGTACACACAGAATTAGTGTCTTTGTCACTGATGCTAAGTACATACTAGGCCCTGTGCTCCCCTTCGAGGCCATGTGCCTTGTTTTCAGTCATTGGAGGTGCTTCAGGTCTCTACCTACCTGATGGCAAACATCAACATCAGAGTTAAAATCAATTCCAACCCCTAACATTGGTGTTATAAAGACATAGGCCATCGTTCCTCTATTCAGATAAATGGGGACTGAGAAAGCCTTTGCCACAATTCTGTTCCCACGGCACACCTGTCCCACATCGGAGGCGCTCAGAATCTGCTATTGATAACACCCGCATACTCCCCCACGTACCGCGTAGATCAAGAGCTCGACAGGGAGCTCCTTCTCTGTGGTTTTCTCTACAGTGTCGCCTCACATAGCACGGCCCTTTATGTACTCGGGATAAATCTTTTATACTCTTAAAGCATCATTATTTCCCACAGGCAAAGTAGGGTAATTAATAATTACTATTTGGCTGATGAGCATTTTTCTGTGTGCCAGCCATGGAGCTAAGCTTTTAATATGAGTTATCTCACTTAATTCCTTCAACAATCATTAAGAGATCATTAAATGTATGAGGCATCTGAGATTCAGAAAGCTTAAGTAACTTGTCCAAAGTCACTCAGCTGAATTATAGAAGCCTGATGCACACATGACTATATTCTGACATCAAACTATTTCTGGAAAAATAGGGACCCCTTTAGTCCAAGTAGCTCCAGTTTTATTTTTCGGTCACTAAAGCTGTGTTTGCTTGAAACCCCAAAGTCTCGTGTGTGTGTGTGTGTGTGTGTGTGTGTGTGTGTGCGTGTGTGTGTGTGTGTGTGTGTGTATGTGTGTGTGTGTGTGTTCGTCACCCCAAATTCTCGTGTGTGTGTGTGTGTGTGTGTGTGTGTGTGTGTGTGTGCGTGTGTGTGTGTGTGTGTGTGTGTGTGTGTGTGTGTGTGTGTGTGTGTGCGTGTGTGTGTGTGTGTGTGTGTGTGTGTGTGGCGATTATTGTTTGGATGGAGTCATTTCCTCTTGGTCAATTCCAGCTGCTGTGAGTAACTGCACTTCCTTGTTTTCTGGAAGGAAGTAGAAGCTCTGAAAGGGCCCGAGGACAGCTCCTCTGCAGAGTTTCCTGTTGAGGAGGCAGGAAGACGTGTGCAGGAGTCCTGAGGAAGCCTGCAGAAGGAGATTCCTAGAGTTCAAAGGGTCGGCCCTCTACGTACCGCAGAGCCCCAAGTTGAGCCATCAGTTTATAGGACAGGGAGCCCTGCACTTCTAAGTCCCCTTTCCTCCACTCCTACCATGGAGATTCTTTGTAGATCCGTGAATGGCAGGATTTGGAGAAGCCCAGGGTCTGGGTGCTGCAGCAAAGGGCAGCTCATCGTGATCACTGGCGGAGGGGTCGGAGAGAGTCAAAGGTCTTCATCACCGCTCTGAGACTTCCTTCTGGAGTGGCATTTGCTGAGGCTTCTCATTTTAAAGAACCTATTGAGAGCAGGGAACCAGAGGTCAGTCCAGGAAGCTAAGTTTCATTAGAAAAAGAAGGAAAGGTGGATCACAATGATAGGACCTCTGCAAATACGGAGGAAAACATAAGTTTATAAAGCGTATGAACCAGGTACAGAGCTACAAGCAAACCTAAAACCCAATTGCAGGAACTTCCTCTTCTGATTGAACAACGGGCTTCAGCTATTTGCAGAGCAGCCGCGAGACGTTCTGGCTAATGAGCACCTCAGGGTTTCTGCGTCCAGAGCATGCCTGATGTTTCCCTGTTGGCCAGTGTGGACAAACTCGGGGTAGAACAGACCATGAAGCACCGTACTGGGAGAGTATTTGTTTTTGAAACAATCCTCTTCCTCCTGTACATTCACTCTGCTTTCTCGTTGCTTGTTTGTAGACCCATGCATCCCACAAATATTTACTAACTGCAGCTTTGTGACAGGCGCTGTGGTTGATCAGGCCGTGTCGGCAGATAAAACAAATGGCTCCTGTTCTCCTGTTTGCCAGCAGCAAAAGATACAGGCTCTCTTTTCAAAATCTGAGACAAAAGACAAAGCAGCAGCAACGACAACAAAGCCAGCCTCCCTTCTTCCCACCCTCCCCTCTAGCTGATACGATAACACTTGGCTGTCTTTTCAGCATTGCTCAGAAAGGGCATCTATGCTTGCCTGGTGCTTCTTAGCATCTCTCACCCTCCTCACCCCGAGCCCCACCCTGCAGCCTCTGCCTGCCCAGCCACACCACTGAGGCCCGGCATGGCGTCCTTCCTGGGCCCTGTCTAGGCCTCGACTTACTTGCTCCCCGAGCATCATGCCATTGCCGTTCCTCTCCTCCTCCGGTGCTCTCTTCCCCGGTCTCCCTGAACGTCACGCTCTGCTGACTTTCCTCCTGTGGTTTTAGCTCCACTTTCACCTCCAGGATTTTTCTTTCACCTTCATGGATTACTTTGTGGGGGAGTGGCCAGAGGCAAGTTTTTTTCTGAGAATTTTTATTTTTTAGACATGTATATGCTTTAAGCATTAATTATGGTTCCCTTGATCATGGCTGCTGTTTGTCTCTGTGTGGAGTTTCAGCTCTGTGAGTTTAAACGCCGACTGGACTCCCCACCTGGAAACCTCATCAGCATCTCACACTCAGCAGGCTCAGAACACACTGATGGTCTCGTGGGATCAACGCAGCTCGCTGCAGGGCACCCCACCCACTCCAGCATCTGTGAGCCAGGCCTGTGCTCAAGCCCCCTCCCTCTCTCCCACATCTAGTCACACACTCTCTTCTTCTCGTCAAATGTCTCTAAAATCTGCTGCCTTGCCTTGTCCTAGCCTGCTGCCAGGAAGTGCCTGGCACAGAATAGCACCAAATAAATGCCTGCTGAGTGATCTCATTTGTGAATGGAGGGACCCATGACTAATATCAAACTGTGACATCTCATGAACCCCAGCTCCATGCACGATGAGATCACACTGCCCTGCCCTCGCTGTAGCCACAGCCACATGATTCAGCTCCGGCCTCCCGTGGGCTTGTGCCAGGAGGGGCCACTTTCAGAACAGCCTGGAATGCACATCTGAGTATAAACCTCACTGAGGCTCCCGGCTACCTGGACCGCTGGGTCACCGCAAAGCAGTTTATGTTGAGCTGGTGCACATCAGTTAGACTAGAGGGTGGTCTTCCTCCACTCGTTCTATCTCATATTCCCTCTGTTCCGTAAACCCACTTCCTAGAACCTGATCCATCAACTCCCAAGGACCAAGATTCCAGTTTTTTATACCCAAGTCCTTGCTCAATTCTGCTTTCCCTTCTTCAAGGAACATCTGTTGGCCATTTTATTATTAATGCTCATATCATCTGAAAGAGTTCAAGATTATACATATATATACATATATATACACACACATATATATACACACACATATATATACACACACACACACACGCACGTATGTATGTTTGTACGTGTGTGTGTGTGTATCCCACTGTGTTAATTTTTCAACTTCATAGTAATTCTAGAGAAATACTTTTTTCAGGAAGAAGTCAGAATTGAATATGCTTAACTTGTTTATGATTAGCATAGATATTATTAAGAATTCAATTTCTATGACTAGACTCAAAGACAGAAAGATAAACAACAGAAGAAAAAAATCAGCCAAGCTCTTTTAAAAAAAAATAAAGAAAACCAGAGAAGATCAAATCTTGAAAGCAGATGGAGGAAGGAAGTAAAAAAGAACATTGATAACAGGAAGCAAAGCTCTAGGAGTTCCAGGGGGAAGAAAAGGATAAAGCTGCAAGACAAGAGCTAGTATATAACCTTTGGGGCACAAACCAATGAATTTTAGTTTGTTGGTTTTCCTTCTTTAATAAGCCTTGCCATAAAAGATAAAAAGCAAGATACGCTTATCAGCAGAGTTTGCAAACTTTAAATTTTTTTTCCCATTCTATTCAGAAGAACTTCTCCCTTGTTGTTAAATAACTGAACATAAATATGTTCCTCTTATTGTTGTAAGCAGTTCCCAAGACAAGTGTGATCATCTTAAAAGAACAATTAACAATAAAAAAAAACAGCACGTTCTGGGGAATTATACTACATATGTTGATATGTGATCATGTGGCATGCACTGTGTGGAACCTCATGCATGTTTTTCTGATGTATGCAGGGCAAGGATTTAGAAATTAAAAATCATCTAACTCTGTTATGGAAGTGCCCCAATGTAGAAACGAATTCTGCAGGAGCTAATGAGAACAGAGTAAGTACTTGACCTTGGTACCCCAGTATCCTGGCTGGAGCTGGAGCCACTGCCCGTTCTGTGTCACCAATCACATGTCATAAGCACCCTGTGCCACGTGTGTAGTCACCATTTAAAGCCTCACATGTGACGACAGAGTGAGCGTTACAAGGGTAACTGCTAGAGGGCAAAGCAAAAAGGATTTCTCCTTAGTTCGGTCCTCGTTCATTAGTTTTCCTATGTTTATAAGAGGGAAATGAGTCAGTTAATACTTTCCATTCTTAGATCTCAAAGTCAAACACCTCTTTAGTTTCAAACAATGATGATCTTCTCTGAAATTCTATAGGGAGTTTGGGAAGCTGTGTCCTCATAGTTTCTCATTTACAAAGACTTCTGAAGCTGATTTAACTATTGAAGAAGTCTCTTCTTGATCAATTTACAGTTGTACTGAAAGTACTTCTCCCAAACAGTTACTTTAATTCTTTTTCCTGCTTTAGAGAGTTGTTGCCCTGTCTGGGTTGGAACTACTCCACTATACAGGTCAGAGGTGATCCTGGAAAGAGACACTCAGTTGCCCTTTCTTTCATTCCAGTGACATTCCAGACAGATGGAAACATGAAGTCTTCGTTAATATTAACTTTTATGAAACAGACCATTATTTCCAGCATTTTAAAAAAGAGGGAATGAGTAATTTTACCTCCAAAATTCCAGGATCCTAAAATCATGCCAGCCAACCAAGACTTTCCATCCTAAGGTGAATCAGGATCAGACAAATCTGTGGAATTAATGTGCTCCTTGAAGCCACAAATAAGGAGGGCTGGGGAACTGCTCTGCTCTCAGCAACAGAAAACAAGTGAGTGTGTAATTCCACTGGATTACCTGGTAGCAAGGTCATCACAAAATAAATAGAATACATAGGTAGGTAGAGAGAGAGATTGGACCGAGAGAGGATAGGTTGGTAGGTCGACAGATAACACATTCTGCATGTCTACATGTACCGTGTACATTCTTTCACTGTACTTCTTTCACTATGTACTTCATTCTTCCGCTGTAAGAACCACATTTTACAACATCCCAATCCAATTATTTATTTGATCAATCCCACAATAAATCTAAAAGTTTCAGAACTGACTCACCTATATCCCAACAAAAAGTGCATCTATTGAAGAGCTCCAGATTTGTCTGTAGTTTCCCCTGCTCAGGTCCCATGACTGAGAGCACATAGTCAACACCTTGTTGGAGTTACTGGAATATCTCCTCTCCCACGCGTGTCTCTATGTCGTTATGATGTTTAGCATTCACTTATTTCAGTGTCCTTCCAGTTCTATTTTCTTCCAATTCTTATTGTTTCAGTTTTAGTTTTTTGAATATATATAATACTAACATACTTTGAAATCTCACCTATATCAAACATAATCTCCACCTGTCTCTCATCCCTCCTGATCGTCCCACTCAGTATAGGTAACTGACTTCATTGTTGTCTGGCCTTCACTATGATTTAATATTTGATAACATAGGCAGATGTACATTCTTTATTATTTCCTCTACATTTTTACACTTTACTTTTTTAAAAAAGAATTTTGCTATAGGGCATGTGCACATGCCAGAGAGAGAGAAAGTGAGAAAGCATCCCCTGAGGCATATGGCCACACCACAATCCCTTCTCCTCCATTCTCCTCTTGGGAATTTGGCCGTGCACATGCACTCAGTATTCTTCAAGCCACTGGGTTCAGGACTCAAACTGCCCAGTTGGCCATGGGGAATCCTGATGCCTTAACCACCATGCCACTAGCTGGCCCCTTGTAGCTTTTTTCCACCTAACATTCATATATCCTGGAAACCACTCCTTCTCCATTCTTAGAGGTCTGTATTCTTTTTCCCAGCCTCACAGCACTTTACCATGTGTACAAATTCTCCTGAAGTTTACTGTGGGATTATGTCCTGATAAACTCATTAGAAGTTGAAAAGATTTTAAGTCACAAATGCATTTAATAAGCTTAACCTACCAAACATAATAGTTGAACTTAGCCTTCCTTAAAAGTGCTTAGAATACTTTCATTAGCCTACAGTTGGGCAATGTAATCTAATGCAAAGCCCATGTGACATTAAAGTTTGGACTGTCTCATGTAATTTATTGAGTACGTTACTGAAGGTGAAAAACAGAATGGTTATATAGGTACTTGAAGTATGGTTTCCACTGAATGCATATTGTTTTCACACTGTGATAAAGTTGAACAATCATTAAAGTCATACTACCATGAGTCAAGGTCAAGGACTGTCTATATAGATGAGGTTATAAAGTCAATCTCTTACATATAGGTAGTTGCTAACATCTCACAGCTATACATATTGTTGCAGAGAATAACCACATACCTTGGTTTGTATTATTGGAACTGTATCTTCAGAGTAAATGTTGAGAAATGGGATATCTGGGTTGAAGATACATGAACATGTGTTTGTGTTCAAAACTGTCAAATCCCCCCCTATAGGAATTGTACTGTTTTGAATTCCAACCAGAAGTCCAAGTTATATACATCTTAGCCAACACAGTAAATGATCAAGATTTCATATTTTGTCCAAATGGGTGAGAGATGGCATTGTGTGGTTTACACTTTTTTGATTATGAGTGAAGTTGAATATCTTCTGTACATAAGCACATCATTTTAGTATTTTTTGTGAATTTTCTACTCATGAATGACTTGTATTCTTTTTCTATTAATTTTTTAAATCTAACTTCAATTTTCTATTAGATTTTCCCCCATTCCATAAGAGTTCTTTGTACATGAAGTATACAACCCTTTGTATTTTCTCCCAGCTTGTAAAATTTTTTTAAACTTTCTATGTTGTGCTTTCTGCCATACAAAGAGTTTTTCTTTCTTTATGTAGGCAAACATCAATTTTTCCATTTATTGTATGACTTTTAAATTGTCATTAAAAATTGTTTCTTGGGGCTAGCAAATGGCTAAGGTGTTATACTTTCCCTTGGCCAATGACAATTCATGTCTTGGAGAGCAACTTGGAAATCGTATCAGGTATATGTGCATGCATGCACAAAATCCGAGGCGAGAACAGAGAAGGGAGTGTGGTGTGGCCATACCCCGTAGGAGGCTATTTCTCACTTTATTTTTCTCTGTCTCTTTCTGTCTCTCTCTGTGAGTGCACACGCCCTATGGCAAAAACCTAAACACAAAGGAAACGCTAAAGACTTCAGCTTATAAAATAAGATGAAAATGTAAAGCAATAAATAAAACAAAATGTAAGAAACTCTTTATAAAAATTGTTTCTTACACACTTGGTGGGAATCTGATCTAATTTGATCTTTTATCCAATGACTATCCAGTTATTCCAACATTATTTGTTTGTTTGGTTGTTGTTGTTGTGTGTGTGTGTGTGTGTGTGTGTGTGCACGTGCGTGAGTTGGGGAAAGACAGAAAGAGAGAGGGAATGTGAGGAACTGGAGAAAGACAGAAAGAGAGAGGGAATGTGAGGAAGTGCCCCCCCCACACACACAGGTCACAGTCATGACTGTTCCTTCTGGGTCCAGAACTCAAACCATGTGCTCTGGAGAAAGACAGAAAGAGAGAGGGAATGTGAGGAAGTGCCCCCCACACACACACAGGGCACAGTCATGACACTGTTCCTTCTGGGTCCAGAACTCAAACCATGGTCGACTACATGGGAGTCCAGTGACATAACCATTATGCCATCTGCTGGTCCCCACCTGGTATGTTTTCAAAGCACCAGGTTTGGTACTCAGACTGTGCTATATGGGATCCAGCTGCCTTAACCACCATGCCACAGGCTGGCCCTATAGTCTTTATTTCTTATGTAAGAGTATCGTTTTCTTTTATAATTTTCCTGTATTTAACTAATTCTTTTTTTTTTATTTCTGTTACTGCTGTATTCCCCACTTTTATTTTTAAATCTTTGATCTAAGGCGTTTTCTCTAATCTTCAAATGCTCGTTTGTTTTTGTATAACTCATTTTGTTATATTATTATTTTCTCTTTCATGACTTTTTTTTTCAGAGAATTTTTATCAGCTTCTCTGTGCTGATTAGTATTTTTACAATAATCTCATATGCATGTCATCGGCATTTACCATTCCTATTCATTTCCTGGTCAGGAGGATGTCCCTCTTGAGTACATGTTCTTCTATGGCTACCTCTTTTTTTTTTTTTTTTTTTTTCATTAAGAGAGGTTTTTTGCTATGGGATGTGTGCACTTTTCGGAAAGACAGAGAGAGACAGAGAGACAGAAGAAGATAAATCCCCCCGCCACACACCCCCACCCAGGGAGGATGGCCATGCCACAATCCCTTCTCCTCCATTCTCCTCTCAGGATCTTGGGCACACATACACATATGCCCGGTGTGAGCTTAAGACACTGGGTCCGGGACTCGAATCACAGTCTACTATGTGGCAGTCCAGCAACATAACAATTACACTATCTGCTGGTCTCTATGGCTGCAATTTCTGTTAGCTTCCTTAGTGGATAGTGGCAGTGGGAGAGACAAGGGGTGGCCTGACTGCTGTGCTTTCTCTCATTTTCCCCTTGTCTCTGTTTTTGTCTCCTGATTTTTCTCAGTGGATACCACCTTCCCTGATCTACCTCCTCCAGAAACCGTATAGGCTGTGCAGCCCTAATCCAAACCAAAATCTGAAATGCTGCAAAACTTGAAACTTTTTGAGTGCGAACATGACACCACAGGTGGAAAATTATGTACGTGATCTCACGTGACTGGTCACAGTCAAAATGCTGCAATACATAGTATCATGTAAAATTTCCTTCAGGCTGTATGCGTAAGGCATATAGGAAGCATACATGAACTTCGTGTTTAGACAGCCCTGAGACCTCTCTTTATGAGTATGCAATTCTAAAAATCTGAAAAAAATTCTAAATTTGAAACACGAGTCCCAAGCATTTTGGAAAAGGGATGCTTTTCCAAATGCTTTTCTGAGGCTGCCTCTTCTGCCTCACTGTCAGCCAGTCCCTTACCTGGGGCCGATGTCCTGAACCGCCTGGTCCTGAACCAACTGTAACCGTATGCCAGCACTGTGTGGACTTTTCTCTCTGAGGCAACATCTCCTTTGCTTGTCTAAGTCAAGCCCATCCTTTCTGTTCCCTCGTGGAGTCACTCAAAGCTTCGCCAGCCTCACGCCCTCCACCAGGAGCTGCCAGTGAGGGACAAGAACTCTGTTCGAATGTGGTTTATCCCCACTACGGCACTTCGCTAGGTTATGATGGCCTCTGCCTTCTAGAAAGCTCATAAGTACTTCACGATGTTTCATGTGGGGCAAAGACGTGTGGGGAGTCGAAAACCAGGAAGAGCTCATTCCCCCTTTTACCCATTTATCCTTACTTTTCTCCCAAGAAGCTAAGTCCGAAAAGCAGACGGGCAAGTGGCAGGAGAGCAGGAGCGCTGCACGTGGGGACAGTGTGTTGGGAAGTGTCTGCTCTGTCACATCCAGGGGCAAACGAGCATTTAGCTGAACTGTGGTCATGAACACAGAAGCTCCTGGCACAAAGAAGTTTCGGATAATATCTCTCGCACTCTCAGAAGTCACTTAGAGAATGTGCTTCGAGCTTGCTCAGAAGCGGGCAATGGCCTTGACACACTTTGCTAGCCTTTTTGGGGTGTGTCCTCAGGACCTATGAGGAGAGGAGTTAACAAGGGCTTCAAGTTCTCACTCAACTAAGGACCGTCCTTTAAGTAGGTATTGGGAACCTGGGACAGGACCTGCTCGGGTGTTTACTGATGCTCGAGAAAGCGAGAAGGGACGCCATAGCCCGACTCGGTGCTGAGCTGCCTGGTGGGGGCCAGCCATTTGCTGCAAGGGGCACAGAAAAGCAGCCTTGGAAACACAGGACATATCCTAAAGGAATCTTTTTGGCACAGGAATTCATAGGTCAGGGTGAAATTTTTCTCTTCTGTCCTCTAAGATAGTTTGGAGTCTCACATTAAATATGATTTCACCACGCTGATAGAAAAACCATTTTCTTCCATCCTCTTGTTTTTATTCATCACCCCCCTGCACACGCACACACCTGCACACACCTGCCCTCCCCGCTCCCTGCCACCAGCCCACCTCAGTCCTCAGTCCTCGCCTCTGTCTCTCAATAGCAGCAAGGACAGTGTCTTACTACGGAAAGATGGATGAGCTTACCACAACCTCAGAGCACGGGTGAAGCCCTTATTAGAATTCAGGGCCTGCAGCTGGAACTTCCCGCATGGGCCGGGAGATAAAGTTCACCATTGTGAGCTCACAAGTGCCTCAGACTTCCTGGCAACGGCCGTGAATCACTCAGCCATTTATGCGGCCTTCAGAAACGGGCCACTGTTTCCCAACAAAAACGGTATTCAGGACCAGAGCCATGGCTCCCGGGGCCTGGAGAGCCGGCCCCGGGCGGGCGCTGAATGGACGCTGGCCGCCCAGTCAATGGCCCGGTGGGAAAGGCAGTGATGTCACCGCAAATGCATGTCGGGGCTTTGCCCTGCTTTCCCCGCACTCTCCCCCTCCGAGGCTGTTGTCCTGTTTGATTTTTCTCTCTTTCTCTTGCTCTCCCTCCAACTTCTTTGAGGCCATTCTTTTTCTCAAAGTTTAGAGCTCAAACCCACTAGAGGCCCACAGCAACACCACTGCCATGGCAACGCCCGGCCTTCTGCACTTTGCTTTTTGCATAGAAAGTAGAAAAAGCTTGCAAGAGAAGACAAGAATGAAAGGAGGAACGAGGCCAGTTTGGCCCCGCTCGGATCGGAGTGGGATGGAATAAAACTGGTGAGGCCAGCAGGAAGGAACCGGCGGACGCACGGAGGGGCCTTTGAGAAGCAGACTTGGAATCCTGCACACGAAGACTGCAAAGCAAGCCCATTGCTTCCGAGGGCTGACAGGAGGGAAAGAATAACACGCTCTTCACAAGAAATAAGGCATTGCTTTTGAAAATGTGCCCGATTACATAGTTCACAGGAAGCTTTCGAAACTCTGCCTGGCCTCCTCAAAAAGGAGAGAAGAAAGAGGGGGAAATCGCAAAAGGATGTTGCTCTGTATGGAGAGAGAGCAGAAAATGAGCTGACACTTTCTGGAACGCCCGAGGTTCTTGAGTTCCCTATTGTTGAACGGCCTCAGAAATAAACTCCGAGGTGTCAGCTGTGTCGAATCCATTCAAAATAATCGATGATAAATAGAAAGAGATGTTCATTGCTGCACTTTCTGCTCCTAAAGAATATGGCACTACCTTGAGCTCCTGAGAGAAAATAAAGAAGTATTTCTCTGACATGTTTTATGTCTACTCTGTTAAACGGTAGACAGCAATCAATTTGATAGAGTAATTCCTTGAAAACCCCAAATGCCTGCTTTGTAAACATCAAGCCAGAGGTCAAGGTTTTGCCTGGCAGGCGCTGGTTTGGCCAATCCCCTTAGTCCCTGGAGCTCCTCTTGTTAGCACCACAACCAACTCCTAAACCTGCAGCTAGTTCCTGAGTCCAGAGCATCGCCTCCTAATCCCATCCTTTACCCACTTTCCAGATGTTTTATCAGCTATGGTCTAAGCACTGTGTTTCCAGATGGTGTCCCACAGATTACTGCACCCAGAGTCCCTGGAAACCTTCAGCACTGATCCCCGGAGACAAAGGCCTCACGCAGGGAGCTTATTTTTGTGGTGACGACTAACATCAGTGGCTGAGGGGAAGAAGTGGAAAGAATGAAAGAACAAGGAAGGAGAAGTGAGCCTGAGAGGACGTGGCCTGGACACAGATCTCACGTGGACAGCAGATGTGGCGGGATGGAGGAGAACAAGCTAACTGAGATGTGCACAGTGTGTTCAGCGGGCCAGCCCTGAGGGGCAGTGATGGAAACGGCCCTGTGTCACCCATCTTCCTCCTCCGTGCCCCGTGGGGCCTGCTCTTGTCTGCGAATGAGCCAGACTCTAGCTTCTCAGGCACTGTCAGACAGGAAAACGATTTCATTTTCATAGGTTAAAATGTCCACTCCAGTTTAGAACAGAACTCCATGCTCATGAGCAGCTCATATCTTCTAGAAGTTTGCCTGAGAGGTGACAACGCAATTGGTGGTCAGGGTGCTCTGACAGGACAGTCACATAATAGCTCTTTCAGAGGCACCTTGGAGTTTGGGAGGCCCATCTCAGAGATCTCTGCTCCCAGTCCAGCAAATACACTGAGCAGACACTTCTCCTGCCACCTGACCCTAACCAGCCAGGGCTCCAGGCTCGGGCTGGCACCCCATTCTGGCAGGAGTTCCTTCTCAGTGATGTTTAGTCTGTTCTGTTTCTAATAATGGAAATGCCCACTTTTGGGTAATGTAGGAGAAGAGAAGTCTGATTAGCTCATGGATTTGGAGGCTAACCAGCCCAAGAGCACAGCATGGGCTTCAGGTGAGGATCTGCACACCACGTCACACCATGGCGGAGGACAGGTGGGGGTGTGACGCTCAGCGCACTTTGTCTCATCCCCTGACCTTGTAAACCCTATAGGACTCCATCATGGGGCCTTGGCCTTGACACCTAATCACTTCCAAAGGCCTACCTTTCAGCACTGCAATCAGATTTAGTTCGCTCTGACTACTCACAACACAATACAGTCAAACTATAGCAGGTGGGGTCCTCCAGGAGGCTTCTGCACCAGCCATTGTCGGCAACGTGTGCTTGGCCAAGAGAAGTCATTCATCCCTGTCCTTCAGCTATCAGAACTGGCTACTCTGAGGTCTTTTCCAGCCATTCTCTCACCTTAAGAATTCTTGAAGTGAGGAACAGCAGAAGGTGTAATGATTATGTCGCCACACTCCCATAGGGCCAACCATGGTTCAAGTCGCGGACCTGGTGGCTTAAAACTCACGTTGGGTGTGTGTGCATGCATACCCAAAATCTGAAAAGGAGAATAGAGAAGGGATTGTGGAGTAGCCATCCTTCCTGGGGGTGATTTCTCGCTTTCTGTCTCTCTGGTGAGCACATGGCCCTATAGCAAAAATCCATGTAAAAAGAATTCTTGAAGTTAGATTCAGGAATGAGTATCCATCTAGGAGTTTCCTATGGGGTGGGGGGTCCACAGTAGATTTGCACAAGAATACTGCTACACCAAGCCCTCACTTTGGGGACCCCTGATGGAGGAGGGTTCTGAGGCCAAGCCTTCTCCCCATGGCTGTCCCTACTCCTGGGAAGCACGCCAGGTTGTGCGGTTTTGTTCTCCTGGTGTCTCTCCCCGTCCCCACCCTCGCGTTGAACTTGGATGGGATAGGAAAGCAAGGACATCCTTATTCCATACCCCTCAGAGCAAGGAGACAGGCCATCAGCTCACACTTGCACCCTGGACTCGCTCTCTGAGCCCCTCTTTATGCATGTAGTTGTCCTAGTCAGGCTTTTTCAGGATGATAGTTGTAGAATTGTTTTTTTCCCTGCAAGTTCCCCACTGCTGTTTAGCTTCTCTCTCTGGAATGAAGAATATTTATTGTCCACTATTTTCAGCTCTAGGGCTCCAACAGTAATTCTAATAAAGAAAGCTCCCATTCAAAATTCTGTTATTCTGAAAATACTTCAGATGACCCCCACAAAACCTTTTAACCAGTACTCCAGTTAGTTTCATTCTAAACCACTTTCTGTCTCTGATAATCAGCTCAGCTTTCTCCCTTCCTAATATGAGTGCTTTTATTTTTGTATTTATCTTCCTGTTACTTTTATTTCGATTTTATTCTCATTACCTTTACTTGATTTTCCTTTGGGAAGCCCCGCCTCTCTCAGCTTCAGTTTATGGGGTTTAGTCAGGGATTTCCAGCCTCCTGGGAGACCCATGTAATCCAACCGTGGTGAATGAGAGTGAAAGAGCTCCCCCTCACAGTGGGTGCAGAAATAGGAGCCATGTCGGCCACATTGGCCCAGCCAGGGGAAGTTCTGGCCCCATGCTGGAGCTCTTGGGAAAAGTCCCAATTCTGCTGTTGCTGTGATCAGCACGAAGCCCAGTGGATGTCCACGCGGGGCTTCCTGACAGCCATCGGAGCCCCACATCCAGGAGGATGCCACAAAACAGCCAGGCAAGGATGGAAAAACGCCGAGTCCTGCAGGGTGTTTTAAGTCCCCAGGTCCCCCGCACCTGATCTACTCCTGAAATATGGTCTGACAGGAGCTAATAAATTCCAACCTGCCACTACTTGTTTGTTTTTTGTCATAAATCCAATTTGGGGCTTCTGCTGTGTTAAGGAACCAGTCTCCCAATGCTTTTATATGCAAATGCTTAGTCACTTATAACTCACCTCACTTCTAACTCACCCACCACTTTTATCCTAAGGACCCAGTTCCTGGATTCTGTTATTTTTCCTTCAAAAAGCTCAGACAACTCCTCTTGGCAGTCCTCTGTTGCTGCCACCACCCAGTCTGAATTCATCAGCAGGACCAAAATGGCAGCTAATCCGTGTGTGCTCAGTCCTCACTTCTCTGACAGATTCGTTTTTCTCCAATAGTGATTTTTACCACTGCTCCTGAACTCTCATTGGTGTCTTATTTTCACCCCTGAGAGTCTGCTCCATATGGGTTTTAAGAGCCTCAGTGTTCTGGCCCTGTTCTTGCCCCATCTCAGTTCTCTTCCTCAAGCAGTGTCCACCAGGGTTTCCAAGCTGTCAGTTGCTCTCTTTGAGATCATGCCTTCCCTGGGTGGCTCCCAGCTGGTGACTGAACATGGGAGTCAAAGCTAAACCCGGGACATTTCTGCCCAGCTCCCTCCGTGGTGCTGCAGGAGCTCTGGTCGCCACCTATTCTGACTGTGACGTTGATAACAGAACCTGTCTGTAAATGCTGCATCTGGAAATGGGCTACACACACAGCAGGCATTAGGCAGCTGCAGAACGAGGGCCAGGGATTTGCCTATCCCCTGCAGCGCCTCAGCCAGCACCCGGAACTCATCAATCACACTTGACCTGTGAACATACTCACAGCTAGGAGTGGGAGTGGGCCATGACTCCAGGATCCACTGACCACGTCATGTAACACATCATCCAGAGGCAGCCAGGAGCTGCAGGACGGCCTATGGCAGGCCCAGCTGCAGAGCCAGCTTGGAAGTCAGACCCTGCAAGGAGTCGGTGTCAAACTGGACACAGTGTACGCTAAAGGAGAGATCTCTTCCTGGGGGTGTGTCCCAGGTGGAGAAGCAAGCGGCCCAGGGAACCTGGTGGTGGAGACAGGAGAGGACCTTGGGGCCCAGTGGCTATGGCCCTGCAACTCTTCAGTTGTAGGTTGGGAGGTCCCAGTTTGCTTTGCCAAGGGACACAGAAGAGAGGCCAGCAAACCTCAAGCTGTGGCTGCTATCTGGACACCATGTGTTCCTATATGCAGGGACCAGAACCTGAGGCCGGAGGACCTCCCTGAGGTGGGGACCGATTCTGCCCAGCTACTTTGTGCCCATGGGGCAGGGAGAACGTATGAAGAATTCACAGGGCCCCTTCTGTGTCACGTGCACTTTGTCCCACTGTAACCATGACCAAGAACAGGAGCCCACCCTGACCTGAGATGGGCGTGATGGCCACAGGCTTGAACAGCTCAGGAGGAAGCTTTGCTCAGACCACTGGGGTTGCCACTGCTATGGCAACTGCTGAACAGTGTCCCTAAAAAGGTTCCTCGATGTCCTATTCCGACACCTGGGGAAGTGACCTTATGGAAAAGAGGATTTTTAAGAGAGATAATCAAGTTGAGGCCCTCTGGGTGAGTCCTAACCCAGTTTGTCTGGTGCCCTGGTAAGTGGGGAGAAGAGAGATACATGGCCGGGTGTGAAAGCAAAGGCAGAGGTTTGGTATTCACATGCCCAGGGATACCTGGGGCTTCCAAAGCTGGGGGAGGCAGGAGGTGCCCTGGTCTGGAACCTCTAGAGGGAGCAGCCCTGCCCACACCTGGACGGCAGAACTCTGGCCTCCTTGGCTGTGTGACTGCTGTGTTAAGCTGCATGTATGGGGCTCAGTGAGGGCAACACAGTCACTAAGAACCCCACAAGGGCCAGCTGGGTGAGGGCAGCGCAGTGGGTGCCCTCCCAGGGCCAAGGCAGCGAGGGCCAAGAATGTAGTCAGACACTCTCTCTCCTCCAGGTCTCCCTTCAG